AGCAGCAGCAGGAGCAGCAGCAGCAACAACAGCATCTTCCGTCCCGCTGCGCCCCCAGAGCCGCGGCCGCAGCCACAGCCGCAGCTCCGCAGCCCCGCAGCTGGGAGAGCCGCCGCCCGTTCGAGAGCCGCAGCCGCCGGCGGCATGAGGCGCGACCCGGCCCCCGGCTTCTCCATGCTGCTCTTCGGTGTGTCGCTCGCCTGCTACTCGCCCAGCCTCAAGTCGGTGCAGGACCAGGCGTACAAGGCACCCGTGGTGGTGGAGGGCAAGGTACAGGGGCTGGCCCCGGCTGGCGGTTCCAGCTCCAACAGCACCCGCGAGCCTCCTGCCTCAGGTCGGGTGGCGCTGGTGAAGGTGCTGGACAAGTGGCCGCTCCGAAGCGGGGGGCTGCAACGCGAGCAGGTGATCAGCGTGGGCTCCTGCGCGCCGCTCGAAAGAAACCAGCGCTACATCTTTTTCCTGGAGCCCACAGAACAGCCCTTAGTCTTTAAGACGGCCTTTGCCCCTCTTGACACCAACGGCAAAAACCTCAAGAAAGAGGTGGGCAAGATCCTGTGCACTGACTGCGGTGAGTCGCCCCCTCCCTCTGCTAGAGATGGGGGGAGGGGCGAGGTGGTGGAGAATGGGGGTGGGGCAGGGAGGTGCTGCAGGTGCCCAGGCCTGGCAGCGTCCGGGCGCTGGGGAGGTGGGGCCGTCCATGGGCAGGGCCCCTGGCACGGGTGGGTGAGGGGGCTGGGGTTGGGGAGAAAGAGGATCAGGTTTAAAGTGTGCCAGGGGTGGGGGGCGGGGGGAGGCGTCGGCCTATGCCAGCAGGGATCTGCGGCTGATGTATGGCATGTAGGGCTGGAAAGCTGCCATCATAGCCCAGTAGCGGAAGGAAAAACGGAGAGGTCCGGGCGGTGCTGGCCTGAGGCTCAGTGAGTCAGGAGTGACCCACGGAGGCCTTGCCCGCTCTGCTTCCACGAGCCTGCCGTGTCCCGGTTGGCAGGGTCTGCAGGAGCAGCTGGGTAGATTCCCAGGCTGTGAAGGCCTCGCCTTACAAGTTCTCCTAGGGAATGATCGCCCCCGCCCCCTCCTTCCTCTCCTGGGCTAGCTGCTCTGCTCATCCACACCGCTGGCGCAGGCAGAGTTGGACTTTTTCTGCTACTGTTTTCCGTCCTCCATGTGGCTCCGGTGTTTTTCTCCATCGTGATTGCCTGTCTTTGCTAACTGGGTAGCACAGCCTTCTCTTAACCTCCAAGACTAGCAAGCAGACAGCTCTTTGGGCTATTTCTGGGGGATCTTGCTAGGTCTGTTGATTGTAATGATGATGAAATAGAGTAACTTCTGTTGAATGCTTTAAGTTCAGATCTGACATCTTGCTGGCCGGGTGTGTTGACTGCATCTGTCATCTTCATGATGTTGGGTACTGCACAGGAATGTAGGTGATTAGGAACAAAGCAGTGAAATCCATGGATCTGTGCAACTGAGAATGGACAACTACCATGTCAGAAGTCAAAGAAGTGTCAGTCTAAGAGCTTTTTCTTCTTGTGCTTTAATCCAGGACTTACTTCTCAGCAAGATATTTTGAAGTGAATTCCCACATTCAAATATTTGGCGTTAGCTTGTCCTGTGCTTACTCATATTGGAGTTTCATTTTGTTTCAACTGAGGCTGAATTTGTTGGCATGCAGTGTGACTCTTTGGACTGTATAGTGCCTGAATTATGATAGATGTCCTGGACTCTCACAGAAGTTGTATTTTTACCAGTTTACCAACTGATTCTGTGTAGTGTAGATAGGCTTTGAGTAGCAAAATATGTGTAACAGCTCATAGTAAAGTTTTGCAGCCCTCATCTTTCTAGATCAATGCCTATGACTTTTGGAAGCTTCCCTCCCTCCATTCTCTTTAAGAGACAAATTTTAGGTGTTTAGTTGTAGGAGTATATCTAGGTACTGTGTGGAACTGAGATCACTTTAATGAAAGGTATCTTGATAGTGTCTTAATAAGGAAGGGGAAAAACTTTGAGGATAATAGCAGTTTATCACTCTGACATCATCCCAAGGAATATTGTTGACTGCTTTTTAATGTTGGTTTTATGCTTTGAAATGTTTTATGGTGACAAGTTGAAACAGCTAAGAATTTCTAATTTTTTATTCTATTAATATTTTATCTGAGATCCCTTGGGGAGCTGTAGAATCATATTACACTTTAAGAAATAGACAGTAAAAACATTTATTGAACCTGCCCAAGGACAGCTTTTGTTTTGGTTTTTGGTGAGTTGCTTCTAAATATGCACAGTGCACATCTCCAAATGATTCTTAGTCTGGGCCACAGAGTACCTGATGGTCATTGTCAGATAACCCAATAAAGTAAAAGGCTTCTCTATTCATTTGTCCCTCTCCTCCTACTTTCTCCTTTTCTCAACATCATAAGCCTTGTCAGTTATACGTTCTTTGTTTTACTGAGCTTTTAATAGCTTAACAGTTGAATACAGAGATCATGAAAGATTTGATGGTCAGAAATATAGTCTGTTTTGGGGTTATGATAATTTTGTATTATTAAAATAGCATATAGATAAATTTGGAACTGCAGTCTGTGGTAAAGGGGAGGCCCTCACACATCACAAATTATCAAGGAGCAGGAATGTGTATGGCAGTAAATATTTTAAAGTGCAAAAAATTTTGCTTTGAATTGATAGTATATAGATAGATGTCAGTTGGAGGGGCCTTATAAAAAGGGATTAGAAATTACAGGACATACATGTAAAACTTGTGGAATAGGTGATAATATGACAGAAGAATAGAAACTGCATTTTCTGATTTTCTACCATGTGGTTAAAGAAAACATGTACTTTTTTTGTGATCGTACAATAAATAAGGAAACAAGATCATCCTAACTAACCACAAAACTGTCCTTGTGCTCAGCAGGAAATAGCTAACAAATTCATTTTACGTTTTCTATTCTAAAGAAAGCCCTCTGGGCCATAGGGTCATTGGGAACATTTTCTCCTTGAGAAGATTTGCCCATTGCAAAATAGGGAAACTGGCTCTTGGAAACTGTTATCATAGCCGTTATATTGAGCAACTGAGGTTGCATTGTTACTTTGTTTTTAGTTCTGTGTGTGTCTGGGTTCTGAGAGGTATAGTTCCTACAGAGGTCATCTAGAAAGCAGAGGGGGATTTTTTGGGGTGGAGGAGTCAAAATTTGGGGATAATGTATCATATGAAGGGATATGTTGTGCTTAAAAGTTGACACATGCCTCAGTAGCATCAGTGCAGGCTCATACTGGACTTCTGAAAGGTCCTTATAAATGGCTAATTTCCATTGTGAAATGTTGAAGTCTGTGATCTAAAGTGGAGAATTGTAGACAGGGTCTTGCTGGAATAACAAGACCTGCCGGGGGGCATTTTGACAGATCTAATGTATATCATTTATCTAAAAATACTATATCTGGTGGTAAAGAGTTGAGTAAAATCTTTGCGTTTCTAAGAAGATTGCATGCATATGTGGAGGAAAGTATTTTCTGTGCCTACTATGGAAAGAAGAGGAGAAAGAGTTAGAAAGGCCTTGCATGGGATTAGCAACTCTGTACAATACTATAGAAGCATCTGTTCTGCAAATAGTTCTGCATTTTAAAAGACGGTTGCATATATTTTGGTAAAATTATACCCTTTCTTTTTGTTTTCTTATATACATGTTTTAAAGTTGCTTCCTTATTGAATAGATACAGTAGATAGCATAAAAACAAAGATAATTCCTTCCTTTGGGATTTTCTGATTAGCAGTTTTCCAGTGTATAGTGTACTCTGCTATTAAACATGGAAAAGATATATGTATTCCTGGGAGGCTTTTATATTCTTTAGGATTGTTAAATTAATTTGGCACCCAGTTCACGTATTAGAGGAAGGTGGTTCACAAAATTCAGTATAGCAAAAGCGACTGTATATTTTTAAAATGCTGTTTATTTAAAGAATCTTTTCTTCCCCAGCCAGCTGGAAACCCAGCTGTGCTGCAGTTAGAAGATGGGAAAGTGAAACTAGATTAGAAACTGACCAGTCCTAGAGATGAAGACAAGCCTTGGTTATAGATTTAAGGGTTGAATTACAACCCCTAAATAATTACCATTATTTTTTGTAGTGGCTCTTTTCCTCTACAGACTGCAATTCTTGGGGCAGGAACAGTTTTTTTTCTTTCTCCTAGCTCCCCTGCCCCCGCAGTTTTGGTACTGTGCCTAGCTCATAGAAGGACTCTCCATAAGTGTCTTTTGAATGGATGAAGTCAAGTGAAGTTAAAAAAGAAAGCCTCTAGATTTAAACTAAAGCAATCTTAACCCTCCGATCTGTGACACTGAGTCCTGAGCTGAAAAGCTGAGTTTGGTGATAGCCTTTACCTGTCGCTATGGGAACCTTTTTTTCCAAAGGAATGGTTATCAACTAGAGTACTTTAACTACAATGTGCTTAATCATTGTGCTGATTAGTGTTAATGGGATTTGAGCAGTAGAGAATAAAGGATTTGCTGGAGAAGACTATTTCTTTTTTGGAAGGTGGATTACCATTAGCCCACCCTCAAATTTAAACAAAAATAAGACAACTATAAGTTTGAATTAACAAACACTTTTGGAGCTAGAGAGGGTGGTATATTAATAGTCTAGGTGACTAATTTCCTCTTGGCCCCCAATCAAAGCAAGTGTGCTTCCTCTTTACCATCTTCTATTATTTAGGGTATTTTAATTTTATTTTCTAACAACAATTTGTTTTTATGTCTATTTATATTTTTGGATATGTGGTACATTTATATGGCTCAAAATTCAGAAAATGTATAAGGATTTATGGTGAAAAGTTTCTCTCTTACCCTTAGTCCTCCTCTACCTAGCTCTAAAGCTCTATTGTAAAATAACTTATTCTTAAAATATTTACTTCTCTAAAAACACAATAGTTTTCAAAGTAGTCTTATATCTTTCTTTTAACAGACAGAAAATGTTAATTTTATCATGAAGCTAATTTTATGGTAAATTCCTAGGTAATATGTATTTTTTTTAACCTAGCCCAAGACCTTAACTCATTATCTCTGAGTTCTTTTCTGTCTTAAGTATATTCAAAGGATCTTTTTTCCCCTTTAACCAGTACTCTACCTCACAATTACAATTCAAGGGTCGGAAATGAAAATACCAATTTATTTTTCAGATACCTTGTCATTAAGAAGTTTTCCATAACAACAAATTTTGTAAGTCTTAATTGGGATGCTTGAAGAAGAGATCCAAAGGTTTGTCACTGAGATGTAGGGTTGCAGCTCTGCCCATGCAATTCCTACTGTTGACACACTCTGTAATCTCACAGTAGCCTCCATGTGGGAAATCACATGATTGCACAGATGGAAAGGGAAAAACTATACAGTGCATGATTTTCATTCAGAAGCCAAAGATCCCAGTTGCTGACCATATTCATGCATAGCTGGTATGATTACAGGGGACTTACCTACCCAAATACCGTTTTGAAGTATCTTTTTAGGGTAGCTGATTTGAACATAGTGTTAAATTTTCAAAGGATCTTCAAGTTGTCATTTAGATAGCTGGGGAAAATGTAAATAT